GTTTATTTATCTCGGTGTTTTTCGGGTTACTTCAACGAGTACTCCTCTCTTTACTCCCATGATTGAGGGGGGGAGGGGTTTTCGGGGTCGGTGGTGGTGGGGGTGGGTTTTAGCGTGGGTTGGTCTGAGGAGGAGTGCTCGTGGTCGGGGGAGGTGGTGTTGGTTTCGGTGGGCGGTGGGCTGCGGATGTAGGCGGTTTCGGGAAAGGCAAAGATGGCGAGGAGGAGGACTAGGCCGATTAGGGCGGAGGCGACTTGGAAGATCACGCGCCAGTGGTGGTGGATGGTTATTAATCTGGGGTTGTGGTTAGATGGAACCGAGAGAAAGGGGTATCTTGAGAGGTGCTCACCCTGAGAAAATTAAGCCGAGAGCCACGCCAATGGCGAGAAAAGAGCTGTAGAAAGCCATGATGCTGCCCCGCTCATGGAGGAAGAACATGTCGGCGATGGTGATGGGTGCTAGGGGACGGATGATAAGTATCCTTCTCGTTGACTCGAAAAGGGGGGTTTATCTTACCAACAGTCTCAGCGGCACCCGCTGCGAAGCCCATCAGGATACGGCCGGCAAGAAACCCACCATAAGAGCGCTCAAAACAAAGCCAGACGGCTGTGCCAAAATACATGGCATAGCTCAGCACATACGTCAGCCGCCGGCCGTACTTGTTGGCGATGGGGACCCAGACGAAGTTTCCCAGACCTTGGAGCAAGGCGGTGGTTGTGAAGAAATAAGAAACCTTGGCCACCGCGGCGTTGAAGAGCTGCGGGCTCTTGCCGGGATGGGCACCCGGAAAAAAATCCATGGCCATCTGAACGATGGCGATGGACGGGCCGGCAGCCAGGAAGTTGCACATAAGCATAGCAAAGCAGATGACGGCTGCCATCCAGTACTTGAACCACTGGGGCCTGTCTGTGTCAATAGCGTTTGAGTGAAGCAGACACTCTATTAACGGTAGACATACCAGTTTAGAGGGTCGTTGGGGTCCGAAGAAGGGGTCGGTATGAGTATGATCTCGTTGGTCTCGGGATGGCGAAGACGGACGTTACCCAAGGTCCTCTTACGGGTCTTTTCGACGGGATCAGCGCCACGATCCGCTCCGAGAGATGCTGAGATAGTATCTTTGTCCATGACGAAGGCTGTATAAGTGTGAGCCAACAGACCGACAGACTCTGGTGTTTTCTATCAATCTACTAAGGCCGGCCCAGCATCTCGTGCGGACGGAGGCCAGCTCTGTTGCGTGGAATGGTCACTGTTAAACACAACCCGTCGCCATGTCGCTCGTGGCGTCGATGAATACCAACGAGGAGGGTCGCGTAGAGGATGAGACAGCCACCATGCATGGCGCCCTAAAGGATTCTTATGGGCCCACTCCGCTGTGACTTTTAAAAGTGAATAAACACTAACCTGGGAGTACCGGCAGCGTCTGTAACAAGCCCCAGCTCAAGGCTTACGTTGCAGGGGGTGTTCGGACCGCGTGCTTGTTTATGATCGACGCAGGGGTTGTGCCTGTGTTTGGGGGTCCACAAGGTGACGACGACGTGAGTCGTGAAGGTGTCGAGCACTCCTGGTTCCCCCCTCTGTTGTTATGGCCCCGGGTTCATATAGTGCCTCCACCTCGTCGAGAGACCATCCATCCGGACATTTGGAGTAGAGTTGTCTATCTCGTGGACTTGGCTGTTGACTTGGCGCAGGTTGCCCAGAGAAGCCTCTACACAGTGCACAATTGTCGGGGGGGTTCCATAACTTGGCCGCCTTGCGTTTCCCATGCTACCTCATAGCTATCTGGCGACTTGCCTCATGTGTTGAGAGCTCATAAATTCCGGTCCTGGCAGCATCGGAGGGTATGATGTTGGAATCCCTGGAAACGCTACCCGTAGGTGGGGTTCGAGCGGTGCCTGGTAGCTCCGAGATGTGGTCTCCAATATGATTTCCCTCTCAGGCGTTCTCTTCGTTAACACCGAGCAGGGTTCTGCCACATGATCGGGTGTCAGTTCCCCTTTCGGCCCGCGCACCGGAATAAGGCTTACGTACGTACTCTTCCCCTTTCTAACGACAAGCAGGTTAGCTTAGTAGGGTTAACGGCCTAGTCGCGGGTACTGCCGCACAGTGGTTATTGAAGGAGACCATCCATATCGTTACTGTGTTCTGGGAGGAAAGCTGTCTCTCATATATCACCAACCCTCCACCGTCGCGTTGGTCTGCGTCTGGCCTGGTCTCTCATCAAGCGTGAGCAGGGATATCCTTGACGTGGGAATGAAGTTGAGAAGGTTGGGTTTCCCACTATGCCAAGGGGAATAGATTGGTGGCCGGAGATCCCCAACTTGGCAAGTCTAGCCCGCTTTGATGCTGGAGAGATGTTGTTCTGTTCGTGGTGTTGTAAGTGTATGGAGAGACGGTGGTCTGTTTGAGAGTATAATAGACATTAGGAGCCGGGGCAGACGGTAAGGTGAATAATGAAAGCAACCGTTTCGGAGGACATGTCCGCTCCGGTAGGGTGGAACTGGAACACGGCTGAAGCCTCAGGAGGAACTCGTAACGACCAAACATGGCCGGAAAATGCATAACAACCGAAGAGGTGCGGCACCCATTCAGTGGAGCAATGGTGATTTCGGGGAGAAAGGAGCTGACGAGTCCATGGTTCACTGACCATTCGCTTGCCGCCATTGCTTGGAGGTGGACGGCACGATGCCGTTAAGCGATGGTGGTTTATGCTCATCCCAGTCTAGTGTGTCAATCGCAAGCAGGATCTTCTTCTACCGATGCCAGAATGCCGTGGTCTGCTAAGGGTTAGCATTCAATCACCTGGCCCGACCATGTGTGAAAAATCACGGCTTCCCATGGATCACTTACAGCAGCGCCCAACTCTTTTGGACGGGACGCAATGATGAAATTGTGGTGGGCATCAGAAATGACAGAAAAAATAAAATTCAAATACTCGCTAGTGTATATCTTAAAATAGGGGCAGAAAAATATTAACCCCCTGACATCGGGACAGCAAATCTATACACAGCCGTACCATGCCAACGACCCTACGGAGCGGCAGACATCTTATCGAACATGGCCCAGTCAATCTCTTCAACCACTTTCTTATGGGTCTTCTCCACCGTCTCGGGCTTGTTGGTCTCGAACCAAAACGCCCACACGCTCTTGGTGTGCTTTGCCGCCATGCCCCGACTGCTGACCAGACCAACATGCTGCACGGCCTGCTCGCGCAACGCGAACCGCTTGAGCCCCGTCGCGTCGCAGTACTGCTCGATCATGGTATCCGTCTGGCCGCGCTCCCGCTTGCGCAGGTTCTCTATCAGGTCCGGCAGCGTTTCCCTGTTGAATACCAGCGCCTGGGTGCAGCAGGCGTTCTTGTCCATGGCCGAGACGCCGGCCGCCAGCGCGGAGTCAGCCGGGCCGAAGGGCACGTTGTGGTGGAGACTGAATCCCGGCAGCGGCAGGTTGTGCTTGCCGGCCATAAACGCCAGCACGGTGAAGCCCGGCGCCACGAGCAACGAGACCACGGCGATGGTGACCCAGTCGAGGCGCAGCCGGGGGCCGCAGCCACAAAACCGCAACAGCAAGAGCAGGGTCCCCGACCCGCCCGCGGCCATGGCGAGCGTCAGCGGCAGGTTATTGTACCACCAGTCCCGCTCGGCCGACCAGCCGAGATGAGTCTCAGTGTAAAACAGACGCATATACAGCCAGTCCTTGTCCCCCGCGGCCTTCTTGTGGTCGCGCACTAGGTATTGCAGTCCGCGCATGGTGCGGGCCATCCAGTCGCCGGAGAAGATGACGTCGTCTTCAAAAACGGCGATGAAGGGCGCGTTCGTCTCTTCCAAACAGCGCTCGATGACGTAGAGGTAGTCGAAGACGCCCTTGAGCGGCATGTCGCGCTCCTCCTCGGCCTTGCGCAGCCCCGCGAGCTCCAGCCGGGTCAGGTCGCGATACCCGTCCGCGTCGTCGACCAGGGGCTTGACCCAAGGGGCGTTCCAATCGGGGTGCCGCGCGGGCTCCGTGTTGGCGAAGAGTAGCTTGATGGTCAGCGCGTTGCGCTCGCGCGGGTAGAGGCCCGAGAGCATGGATCCCAGGGCGTCGGCCATGTACATGCGGGCGACGTCGCCATCGCGGCGGACGCTCACGAGGGCGGCGCAGATGGCGGGCGAGGGGCCTGCTTTCGGTGGTGGCTTCCACCCATCTTCGGTGGACTCGGCGGAGACCTTGGCGATGAATTCACGGGCTTCTTTCTGGCGGACGGCCGAATATTGGAGATCGTAGACGCCCTCGGACTGGAAGTAGGCGCTATGGGGATCGCGCCAGAGAAAGAGTCGGCCGTAGCTGAAACCGAGCAGCCAGATTAGGCCGCAAACAAGGAGGGCTCGCGCGGCAGGGAAGGAGAGGATTCGTAATGGGAGGTTGAGAAGCCCACTTGGGAGCTTCTTGAAGGCGCCGCCAACATGGAACCGCCGAAACATTCTGACGGAACACAGTTGGGTGGGTTGTCGTTCGAGTTGTGGGCGGATCGATTTGGGAAAAAAGTTCCAGGCCACGGACCCAACAGAACGCCCAGGCACGCCCAAGCAAGACAGGTGGTTCCAGGTACCCTGCAATTGTGCCCCTGGTGGATCACAGCGAGGCACGCCAGGCAAGGGGCATTCTTGGCATGAAATGCCAAGAATGGGGGATTGCGCAAGCCAACGGATCCTTCAGCACTTGGGGAAGCGGGCAGGCAGGTCCTGCAGCAGTACGGCCATTGTCAGTGCCAGCAGATCGACCTCAGTCTCTTTTTCCCAAGTTTTTCAATTACAAAAATTTTGGGTCGACAATTTTTTTCTACCAGATTCAGCATGAATCGGGTTCTCCAATTGCACAATAAAAATAACCTGGGATTGCGGCCTCGAATTGAGTGCGACCGAGTGCGAATAAGTGCGAGACGAGGAACCACATAGCCCAGTGGAGTTCAACGTGGAAGGTCAGCCCTGAAGGACTGCCGTTGACTTGCTTCATTGCCCGCCTGGGCAGCTCTCGGCACCTCATCAGTCAGCCGTCCAATCCTTTTGACAGAACGGCCCAGCTACCTTGGTGGTCGGTACCAGTCAGCCATGGCCAGTCCCATCGACTACATCATCCATCCGGATCCGCCACAGCCACAGAAACCCGGGCATCCGGTGTCCGGGACCCACAATTCGCTCTTTGTCACCTCCGGGCCGGCTTCGGCATCCCCGTCTACAGCCCCGGCGGGCCCGGTGCACCACACACAAACCCATTCCGGAGCGCAGAATCAGACGCAAGCTCTTTACCAGTGTGCCGAATGTCTCCGTGAGTTGACGCCGTGAAATCTAAGAACACTGGTACTTTGTCTTGAGACTCCCGCTGACTGCGTCCCCAGGCCGCTACTCTCGCCCCGAGCACCTCCAGGTACACCCAAATCCCTTTAGTTACATGCCCACAGTGTATCTCATTACTGACCTGCAATAGAGGCACATTGCTTCGCATACCCTTGGGAAACGGTTCACCTGTGATGTGGGTTGCTCTGTCTAGTTTGTGTCACCGCCCGACTAACACGGGTAGATCTGTTTTTAAAGGATTTGCTCGAGCCGATCTCCTCAAGCGCCACCGTTCCAACCACCAGGATGGAAACGGCAACAAACGACGTAAACGCTTCAACTCGGCTCCCTCGGCCAGCCGTGTAGGACAGGCGTGTACCGCCTGCGCAAAGTCTAGGGTAAAGTGCGAGGATGTCAAACCGCACGTCAGCCTACCATTGTCTCAATTTCCTTTACTAACTAGTGTAGATGCACACGCTGCAAAACCCGCGGGCTGGCCTGCGAAGTTACTTCAGAAGATCCGACCGTGCATTCTGCCCATCCCTCCGAGCACCGCACAGGACACACCGAGTCTACCCCTGATTCCTGCTGCTCCCTTTCGTCCGGCTCGGGACAGCCGCAGCGCCTGTTCCCCGCCGCTCCAGCTCCCCCTTCATATGTTGGATCTACAAGCCCCGAAGACAACAAACAAGGCATAGTACCCTTGGCTTATACGGCATATCAGGAGCCGGAAGTCTACACCCCAGAAGCGTCCTCAGCCACAGTCGCCCAACGCGTCCCGAACCACTTGCATGCCTATTCTAGTAACAGTGTGCGATATGCGGGCAATGAGCACGCAGGTTCCCCATTCCCCGATTTCCTTTGCAATCTTTTATACGAACAGCCCTTGGGCAACCCCTCGAGGCTGCCCGACGCCCAGGGAGCTCCAATGCTCGACTTTTACGATGACGCAGCCCTAGATTTCAACGAGTTTGACTTTAATCTGCTTAACTGGAACCTCGACGCAACTCAAGTCACGCCAGACGATACAGCCAGCGCGGAGGACCCTGCTGGCATGGCCGAGATGCGGTCGACATTGGACAAGCTCTGGACCGAGTCACCGTGGAGGTGGACACCGGGGAAAACAGACAACTGCTACACCGAACAATCCAACCTACCTCTGCCATCCAACGACGCACACAGCCCCAAAACCCGCCATGATGGAGCGGTGGGCGGTTGGGCGGCCAACGAAACACTTCGCGCAGCATGTCGAGACAAGATTCTGGCCATCGTCCTTGGAACTTGCCGCGAGAGCCGTATGGCGAACCGCGTAGCGTCGTCCTTCCCGTCCGCTGACACAATGGATTCGTGGATCAACATATTTATGGCAGCGCATATGTCCCAGGTCGCGTCTTGGATTCACTACGGCTCGTTTTCCCTCAACAGCCAGTGGCCAGAGTGGCTTGCCGTTGCCGCCGCCGCGGGGGCTGTCTTGACCCCGGTGCCCGCTTTCCGCCGGTTCGGGCTTGCACTGCAGGAGGCGATTCGTGAGTCTTTTCTGTGTGCGACACCTGCCGTGGCTGACTAGAGTAGGCATCGCTATCCCGGAGAGGGTGGGTTGTAGCCAGTTTCTATTCCGCACTAAAGCTCCGAGGTTGCTAAAGTTGGTATAGTTTGAGGAAAATAACAAGTCTATCGCCGAGATCAACAAGGTCCAAGCCCTGGTGCTGCTGCAGGATGTTGCTCTGTGGAGTGGCAACCCGGCGGAAGATGGAGATCGCAGAATGCCGTATGTTTCTCTGGCGACTTGCTGCTGTTACAAGCTAACGTAGATTAGATTTATCAATACCAATAGCCGTAAGACGCGACGCTGATGCCACCAGGAGTATGCTAACGTTTGTAGATGATGCGCTATAGAGGTAGGTTTGGGCCGTCGGCCTACCCAGATATCGTCATCCTCCCGTCCGATGAGGGCAAGGTCCTAGAAGAGAAGTGGAAGGCATGGTATCAACAAGAGTCCTGGAAAAGGTATGCCTCGTAATCGTAGCCCCATCCGCGTATCTAATCTCTAGTAGGCTTGTCTTTCCACGCCTACCTGCGCGATGCCCAAGTATCCATGACGCAGCTCAACAACCCTTTCATGTCCTACGCCGAACTGAACCTCCCACTCCCTTGTTCCCGAGATCTCTGGCTCTCCCGCAACGCCGGAAGAGTTCAAGGCCCGGTACCTCAGGCCCGGGGGCAACGCACGCCCCCCTTCCCTCGGCGACCTCTTCCGCGACACCAACGCCTTCTCGGCTCACCACACCCACGTCGACATACAATTTGCCACGTCAATTTACCTTCACGCCTTCTGGTCCCTTATCTGGGAATACCGCCAGCTCTCCTCCATCCACTCACCCATCACCTCAAACACCAACACCCACACCAACACCACAGCCCTCCTCCTAACCTCCCGCCGCACTGACCTTCATAAACCCAACTGACCACCTTTCCACAACCACCAACCTCACCCACCCCCAAACAGGCCCCCAACTTCTTCCCCAAAAATTCCCACCGGAACCA